TTATTTTACTCATCTATATATATATGCATATGTTATATATTCGCGGTTGATGGCGAGTTTGAAATATCCGATCATATTTCATACATTTATACAACTAATATCAAAGGATTGGTTTCATAACAAAATATCAAAATTAATGTGCCGCTGAAAATATATTTAGCAGCCTCTAATCTAAAATGCAAGATATAAACCTAATAACGTCAAAATGTAAATTTATGATAAAAATCTGATGTAAATTGATTATCACGAAAGCATCTGTAATATTTAAAGAAGTTTGAAATTTATTCGATTTAATTTCAGATTTCCCTAATATGTGATTGCAATTTGTTCTATTCGATCATAGATATTAGATGATTTGTATGTCATATCCAAAAGACATTTCGCATTTTTGTAATTCTGATTTACGTGTCTAACAATAAGAGATGTCCTCTCTTGTCATGTCATGAAATTCCAGAATCTTGACCATTTGTCTTATTCGATCTTAAATCATTAGGCAATTCATGGGATATATTGCTTAGAACCGCTCCGATATTTTTCTGGTCACGTTGCAAAAATTCCAGAACCTGTCCTGCCTCCTGTCATTAGTCATTAAACAATTCGTACAAGACACTGACATGTCCTTTCGCTCGGAAAATCTTTCTCGAAAAGCTTATTTTCGTATAACAGGCGTTTCTAGGATACGGCACGTCCTCGTAGCCGTTTTTCTTGTCGCGTCACGAAATTCCAGGACTTTGGCACAGGAGACACGTACAGGAGGCTCTACGTAGGGCCGGGCGCGGAATGAGCGCCGACGGTAAGTCGGTTCCTCGCATACCGAGCGCTCAGGTAGGTAGGTAGGTAGGTAGGTAGGTAGGTAGATAGGACGGTGGAGAGAAGGAAAAGGATGTGAGAAGGAGTGCGAGCGAGTCGGCATGCGAGCAGGCAAGCAAGGCAGGTAAGAGAGTTTGGTATGGTCTAGCTGCTCGCTGCCGAGGAGCGCGTTGAATGCCGGGGCCCGGTTGCGAGCAGCATCGCTGCTCCCCTCTCCAAGATGGCCGCCGGTTGGGTCCAGCTTCGCGACCCCCCCCCTCCCTCCACCCTCCCTTGCTCTCCCTCTCGACCGTGCGGGCCCGTCGAGTCAGGGGAAGGGTAGGCATCGCAGGTGCCGCCATGTCAGTGCATGCCTAACCTCGAAGCCGCGCGGAACGGACGTTGGGCTCGAGTACGCGACAACACCTCGTGCCGTAATCTCTCAATGGGACTTTACTAGTTAAGTCTCTCGTCGCAGAGTTCGCGCATACGGATCGTCGGCATACGCGAACCGTAGGACCGATTCCTCCCGCCAATCGTTTACCCGAAACGACGTGCGTGAGAGTTTTCAGCGCGCGATACCAAAAGTGCTCCGATCGGTCGAGGCCCCCTCTCGGCCTATCGTCGATATCGACGCGTGAACGGAGAAGAGAAGACGGACAAGATTACGCGTCCCGACAGTGGCCGCGAAGAGAATCGCGATTCGCGATTCGCGAGTATCTCAGTGAACGTCGGTGCGTATGTTGTATCGTGTTACTTGGCGCGCGTTTCGCGTACGCAAGATCGGGCAGAAGCGCGTTATTTATCCTATCAGTGTGTGTCGCGAGTGTACATTGACAGTTCGAAATACGTATACGAATATAGTTGCTTTTCCATTCGCTCCATTCTCGATTCTGATTATTCTAATCTCTCGCCTGATCGTTAAATTCGCCTAAGATTTCATCGACGATCCGCAACACGGAAAAAGCGTATGTCTCGCGTGAAGCTAGGGAGAATGACAACGGCAACGACCGGCCCGCGACATCGTGGAACGAATTAGGCGCGTCGTGATCGACGGGAGTCCGCGACGCAGGATCACGCCGAGGAACGGAAACGTGTGTTCCAAGGACAGACGCACGAGGTGTCCGACGGGACACCATGTATGACGCGAGACGATCGCGCCGGGTTCACGACCGGTCGTGCTGATCGGTCCGATTATCAGGTCGTGGATCTAACGCGAGGAATGTGCCATATCTCGCCGTAGACATATTCCCGGTGACAGCGAGTGTACTTAGGACGTGTCTAGCTGGCGGAGAAGAGATTTTGAAGGGTAGAGGGACGACGTCGTAATTCGACTGTGTTCGTTCGAGTAAAGGAATCTTCACGACGCTGGTATGTCGCGAATTGCACCAGGAAACGGCTCGGGCGGCCACTTTTTTTTTTTTTTTTTTTTTTTTTTTTTTTTTTTTTTTTCCGCGAGAAATTAGAGATAATACTCGGCGTCGGTGTAAGTGATACTATAGCCGAGAGAAACCGAGGATAAAAGCAGTGATTTCGTGGTTCGTTGGTGCTGGTGCTAAATATGTTAGGTTAGGTTAGGTGATAATAAAGGTGCCGGTAAAGAAAGGAAAGCGCCGTGCTAATCATCGTGAGTTTCGTCGTCGCGGACGAGAGAGGAATTTCGTGCGAGCACAAGAAGGACATCGAAAATACTCTGAGTGTCGTGACATTAGAAGACGCGACAAGTGATAGGTTTCTCGTTGGTCATCGCGCACTCGGCCTTTCGCGAGACTAGCGGCCGCGTAGGAATGGAAAGATCGAGATAATATCAGGAAGACGGGAGAGGAGGAGGAGGAGGAGGAGGAGGAGGAGGACGGCCGTGGCGTGGTGTTGGAGACCCCCAGGATGCGGCATCTGCTACTGTTCCTCGTCCTGGGAGCGACCCTCGCCCCGGGCGCGCTGCCCGAGCACGTAAAGTACCTGGAGGTCTCCGAGAATGCGCGGCCGGGTACTAGGGTGGGCTTTATCGACGCCGACAATCCGCCGTACCTGATAGTGTCGGTGCCGGGTTCATCGGTGGAGTCCGATCTGATCGTCGATCAGGCGACGGGCGAGATAAGGACGAGGGTACAGCTGGATCGCGAGACCCGTCCGTCGTATAGCCTGGTAGCGTTGCAACAGAACATACAGGTAGTCGTGAATGTCCTTGACGAGAACGATAACGCGCCAACCTTTCCCGTCAACCACGTGGACGTGGAGTTCCCGGAGAATTCGCCGCGCGACGCCAAACGGGCATTGCCACCGGCCAAGGATCCCGATCTCGGCCAGTACTCGACGCAACGTTACGAGATCGTATCCGGCAATCACGGCGACGTCTTCCGGCTATCGCAGCATCGCGGCCGCGACGGTGTCCTCTACCTGGACTTGCAGAATTCCGGCTCGCTGGATCGGGAGGCGCGTTCGCGTTATCATTTGGTGATCGAGGCGCTCGACGGCGGAACGCCGCCGCTCCGGTCGAGCTTGCACGTGAACGTGACGGTGCAGGACGTCAACGACAATCCGCCCATCTTCAATCAGACGCGCTACGTCGCGTGCGTGCCGGAGAACGCGACCGTCGGCACGCCGGTGTTGGCGGTGAACGCGACCGACGCCGACGCCGGTGACAATGGCCGCATCGAGTACTCCATCAATCGCCGGCAGTCCGATCGCGAGGAGATGTTCCGCATCGATCCGGAGACCGGCATGGTCTACGTCAACAAGGCCCTTGACTTTGAGTCCAAGGAACGGCACGAGCTGGTGATCGTCGCCCGGGATCGCGGCGCTCAACCGCTCGAAGCTAGCGCCTTTCTATCTGTACGCGTGACTGACGTCAATGACAATCAACCGGCCATCACCGTCATCTTCCTATCGGACGACGCGACCCCCAAGATCAGCGAGAGCGCGCAACCCGGCGAATTCATCGCCCGGATATCCGTCAGTGATCCCGACTCTAGAACGGAATACTCAAATGCGACGGTTACGCTGACCGGTGGCGAGGGTCACTTCGGTCTCGCCACGCGAGACAACATCATCTATCTGGTGGTGGTGGAGCGTCCACTGGATCGCGAGGAGAAGCCCGTCTACGATCTGTCAGTGGAGGCAACGGACGCCGGCACGCCACCGCTTCGTGCCGTGCGCACCTTCCGACTTCTCGTCACCGACGTCAACGACAACGCTCCCAAGTTTGTGCAGGAGAGATACGAGGCTCATCTCCTGGAGGCGTCCGAGCCCGGCACGTCGGTGCTGCAAGTGACCGCGACCGATCTCGACGAAGGCGCCAACTCGGCCGTACGTTACTCCCTCCTCAACACAACGTCGTGGTTCGCGATCGACGAGATCACCGGACTCATCAACACGGTGACGCACGTGGAATGCGAGATCGACCCGGCGCCGATCCTCGTGGTGATCGCGACCGATTCCGGACGGCCGCCCCTGAGCAGCAGTGCGACCGTACGCGTGACAGTGCACGATTACAACGACAACGAGCCGATCTTCGAGAAGCCCCTCTACAACGCCACCGTGCCGGAGGACATGCCCGTCGGACGCTGCTTTCTCAAGGTAGGAGATCGTGCGAAAATTACGATTTCTCTTCACGCTTCATAACGAAGCGTTGATTGCGCGCGCCGCGGAAATGTGAGAAAGCTGAGATCCTTGATCGATACGTCAAAACGATAATGTCACGTCAAGTCGCGTGACGGGTGAATGTGTTTGTGATATATATATATATGTGTGTGTGTGTGTGTGTGTGTGTGTATAGTAAAAGGCTAACAGCGATTGTTTTGTTAGCCGGGTTGTAACGCAAAAAGTTGCGAAATAGATCCGCGGGCTGTTGTAATTTTGTGAATTGCTTGTCATGCCGCTTGATATCTATATGACGTGCGGAATATTTTCCACACTTGTCTGAACGTTCGCGTTCGCGGGTGTAAACGTCGGGAGACGTAACGCTGTCATCTCTCTTAACAAGCGTGGTACTGTCGGTGGTCTTTCTCCCTCTCTCTTTCTACGTGTAATTGATATTTATATTCAAAGAAAACTCGATTCCGGCGTGAGGTTGATTTCTCTATCTTAATTCGTTAAATCATCATCGTTTGCGCGCACAAATCGATTATACAGAAGTTACGAACCGCGTTCGCGAATGTTCACGATGCGAGAAATCGAGGTTTAATTGACATATACTTAAACGCGACCGATTCCGGACGGCCGCCCCTGAGCAGCAGTGCGACCGTACGCGTGACAGTGCACGATTACAACGACAACGAGCCGATCTTCGAGAAGCCCCTCTACAACGCCACCGTGCCGGAGGACATGCCCGTCGGACGCTGCTTTCTCAAGGTAGGAGATCGTGCGAAAATTACGATTTCTCTTCACGCTTCATAACGAAGCGTTGATTGCGCGCGCCGCGGAAATGTGAGAAAGCTGAGATCCTTGATCGATACGTCAAAACGATAATGTCACGTCAAGTCGCGTGACGGGTGAATGTGTTTGTGAATCTATGATGAAAAGTGTTTCGCACATTTTGTTAAAATGAACGATATGTTTACGTTACGCTTTTCACATGCTGCGGCGCGATATAATTGTGTTTTAATACAATGTTCACGATGCGAGAAATCGAGGTTTAATTGACATATACTTAAAGAACCAGCTAATCTTTCCCGTCATTCACACAATCGAAGAAAATCCGTCACCAGGCCTTTATACGGCAATCCCTAATTAATCCGTCATCGCAATCGATTGCGAGAGACGTTTACCCGAGCTCTCGCGACGAGCCTCTACTAATTAATATCTTAAATGTCGCGCCTCGACTCAAAAGAATTGACGGTGGATATTTTCCGTTTAACCCTTGCATAAGCCACGTCGTTTCGCGCGTAAAATCGCTAAGATTCACATTAAAGGTTACCTTCCACGCGGCCAAGCGGGCGAAAGGGCACGAACGCATCGCTCGTAAGCCAGTCGTGAGCTGTCAGGCACGTACGTTACGGGAAAGCTGTAATTGGTACTCGCGAGGACGAGCGAGAGGTTTTCTTCGGCGTGTTTCAATTAGTACCGGCGGTTATCCAGGTAGTGCGCGTTATCGATCATCGTTTTTTTTTATTCCGGGAAAGATGTACGCGATTCGAAGGTGAAGTAAAATCCGCGCGCGACTTCTCATTTGCATACGCGTCCCCGCGCTAACGGTCGCGCGTCTTTTCCTCCGAGAGGAAGAAAGAAGGATGGGGAGGGGAGAGCGACCTGAATGAGGAAAGTATACTGTACGCAAAAGTGTTGCGTATGTATGGACACGCGGATAACGGGGCGACATGAATCGCTCGGGGCGTAGCGTCGCCGACCCGAGAGGAGATGAGTACAGCGCCTCTCCGTTGCTTCCTCCGTCTCTCGCCTCGTCTCGCCTCGTCTCGCCTCGTATTCCGGTATTATATCGACCACGTGGCGCTCGCGGAGAAATCCCGCCGACGTTTCCTTAGCGGGGCCGTCGCCGCCGCTATACATCTTCCCCAGAGCGGTGTTAGAGCGCGAACAAGTTAGTCCCGACACACCGATGGTGCTTTATGAGCGCGTTGGTACATCCTGCCGTGCGAGCGGTCCCGCATTTGTATACGTTCCGAACGGGATAACGACGAGCGGGGAATAAAGGACAGGAGGTGGGAGTGAAGAGCGAATCCCGGAAGGGTTGACATAGTGGGGGGTCGCGCGTCTCTGAAATTTGAGATATCGCGTCGTTTTGTAAAAGCGATTACGCGTGTACCGGCTGTTGTCTGACATTACGAATGATCGTATTACGTTTGACGTGTATAATCGTCGAAAGTAACATTACACCTCTTATGGTCGCGCGCCGGTAATCATACTATCGCGAGATAGAGCCGCGAGAAATCGAGATCTCTCGGCGCAACCAAGGAGCAAGAGTGTAACGCGAGCGGCGCTAAATTCTTCTCTTTTAATTTTTTTTTCCCCGCACCTAAACGCAATTCAAACTCGGCGCTGAAAGTTACTGAAAGTGAAAGTCTGATGTAATACGCCGATAATGCCCGAGAGACTAATTCGCCGCAATCAGCGAGCCGATCGTCGACGGTATCGCGCCGACCGTTAAATCGCCCTGACACGGTCAATGCGCTTCTTTACGCTTTGACGAAACGCGCGCGCGATAAAAACGCTTCTCGCTGCATATGCTTAACGCATCTCGACCGTCGCATTTCTCTGACCGAGATATATTCATCCATGAAACGACTTCACAAAAGCGTCCGTCATTCATACAACATCGATTCATGGGCCGTAGATTCTGGAGGGAAGAGACGCGATGGAAGGGACACGCGAAGCAGGAACGCAAAATAAAGGAAGAGAAGAAATCTTTCTTCTCCTCTTTCCTCTCCCTCCTCCCTCTCACGTCCGTCTGTCTCGCGCGCGCGCGCGCGCGCGCGCTCGGCCCTTTTTTGTCCCGTTGGATTGTCATCCGCGTGCAACGCGACTACACGCCGCCGAATGCCGATGGAAATTGCACGGGAATAAGCCGAGTGCATTTTTCAATCGCCGACGCAAGCATCGCGCGCATCCGGCGGGGGCCCATACGTGTGCAATGCGACTCAATGTTAATGGCTGCCCCCGGTACGATATATATTTTATTGACGTTTCGCTGCCTAGTTCAATGATAATTTATAATTGTTGTCCGCGCGCGCCCAACTGTAATTATTATAATTACATATTTTTCGTTCGGGCCCTCTCGGAATCGGGTCCTGGCCCGGGTCCCGGGACCGGACGCCCTCTTCGTTCCATCCCTCTCGATGCAGCTCCACCCCTTTGGTCCTTCGTCTCTCGGGGCCTCCTGCCCTTTCCCCTTCATACGTTTCTCTCTCTTTCTTTCCGTCTGTCTCTCGATCTCGCTCCTTCCTTCTCCATCTCGCTCGCTCGCTGCTCTTTCTATCTCGCGAACAGAGACCAGATCTACGGCGGCTCCGCTGTAGAAACGGGTTTTGGAAGTTGGACTCGCGCGAGTCGACTTCTCGCGTTCGATTCCTAAGAGAAACCACTGTCTCTGCTCTCGTCTCCGCTTAACGCCAAACGTGTGGTCGTTTGATTCCGATAGCGATAAATGTCGAAGGCAATGACGAGTATAAAAAAAAAAAATAAATAAATAAAAATAAAAATACACGAATAGCACAAATATTGCTTTCAGATTGATAAGCTATTCAATTATGACATAATTAATTTTTTCGGCATCTCCGGTTTGCAATCTCGCATAGGAATCGCGTTATTAGCAAACACCACTCATCGAATCTAACAATATCCGCGCATATTCACGCACGAGGAATAACGGAACGCGTGCGTACACGCGTATATATCCCGTGTACACGTACGCGCGCGGCCTACACCGTCGGGAACACTGGTTCCAATTCATCCTCGCGCAGGTCTCCCATTATCCATCCTAACCGGTGACGGAGGATCATTAAGCCACGGCGTCTTTTGTCCGTCTCTATAATACGTCCGTCTCTAACAACGAAGCTCGAAAAGAACGAGGGACTCGAGAAAAATGCAGCCAGGCGTGCTCTACTTCGAGATGCGCCGACTTTCCTCCAAGCATCTTGAAGTTCTTCTCGAGGACCGAGAAGACGGGAACGATCATTCGTTATACACTTTTCACGACCACTGTATCGAGTCGAAGAATCGAGATTATGAATTGAACGTGAATCGCGACGAACGATGCCGTCAAATCTTTCGGGGATGCATCTCTCTCTCTCTCTCTTTTCTCTCTCTATCTCTCTATCTCTCTATCTATCTATCTATCTATCTCGGACGCCGGTATATATCGCGGTACGAAGTGATGACCGTAATGACTCTAACCACCGTCTGACATCTGGCATTAGGCACTCGGGCTTTCGAGTGGCAACGCCCGCAGCAATTGTTGCCGTTTACGACTGCCGTGCGCGCTCCTCTTCTCCCTTCACCCTCCTCCCTACCAATGATTCTTCTTCTCTTTTATCTCTTCTCCTCTTCTCTCTCTTTCTCTCATTCTATCTCGTTTTCGTTCCTACGTGCACACTCGGCTGCTTCGTTTCTCTACGTCTCTTCTCCCTCCGTCCTTTCCCTTTCCCTTATAATCTCTCGCTCCGTCTTTCTCTCTCCCTCTATCTTTTTCTTTCTCTTCCCTTTCTTTCTGTCCCTCTCAACCATTCTCCTCGTATCTCCTTCTCGTTTCCCTTTGTCTCGTTCTCGCTCGTACGTCTCTTCTCTCTCTCTCTCTCTCTCTCCCTCCTTCGCTCGCTTCTGGTCCCTCCCTACCTCTCGTTGGTCCGCTCTCGATCCTACGCGCTATAGACCGCATTCCCGAGCGCAACGACGAGGCAAAGATATATGTATATGCATTCGCGTGTGCAGCGTTCGCCGTCGCCACACTGCCGTCGTGCTGTTGCAGTTGCGAAGCAGCACGCTCGCAGTGCTACTCCTGAAAAGTCATAATTTTGCGATATTTCTAATATATTTTGCACTACTTTCTCACAACGTGCGATTGCCCGCCGACAGGTGACAACGCTCGCGTTCTTTCGGTGCGAACGAGCGAGCGAGTGTAAGCGCACAGCCGCTTATTTACAAGCGGATTATGCAATCAATATGCCACAACACACGCGGCTCTAATCGTAATACCGCGCTACATAATGCGAATCTGGTTTTGTCCGGGGCCCGCGCGTTCCACTCGAATTGCAAAACGTGACACGCGCTCGTTAACCCGCGAGCGTTCACGTCACAAACACGTGTAGCTTCGAATTAAAATAGGGAATGTATAATGAAGATTATAACGCGTTTATATATTCTGGAGAATTGGAAGTGCAAATATATATGTATGGACGAAATTATTTATCTCGAAATCATCACGATATGGCATTCTCTATAGCTCAAATATGACTTATATCTTTGTTTATTTTGTTTCGTATAAGAAATTGTCAACGCAATATAAGCCTTAACGATTCTTCATTTTGAGAGTGATTTTGTTCGTATCTTTCGCTATATCATTTACACGTTTTAATTCTCTATTGAAAATATCACGCGTCAGATTGTGCGAAAGTATACCGTGTAGTCGCTCTTGTGTGTGATACGCGTAACACTATCGTTCATCACATTCACTATTCCGTATCCTCATTTCAGGAATAATAGAGATTAGATTTCCAATGAAAGAAAAAAAAACAGACCGTCTCTCATCGAATAACGACTTATATCACGTATCGCGCAAAGCACAATTATGAGCGTTAGAAACTCATCCTTATTAAACACGCGCACATTAACCAAATTTCTCTTTGTACAAAAATACACCAGGCCGATAGACCTAGTTTTTTCTAATGACGAATGCCGGA